TATTCTAAAGTAAACAAAGTACGTGTTTTAGAGTTAACAATACAGTAAATTGTTTAACTATTTAACATTTACAAGTACTATGTTTATTTACAATGTTATTTAGAACGTGGGACTACGGTATATAGTCACCAAGACTAGCCATTGATGCTGCTCATACAATACCCCGTTTCAAGGTTCCCCTTAAATCCTGGCTTCTAATTATATAACTTTCAAATTCGCATATATAACGGGGCAACAAACACAAAAAAATACCACTTGTCGTTTGTTAAGCGGAATTTCATATTATAAATGCACAGTGTCGTCGAGTTGGGCGGTAGGTGGAGAAAAACGGCGTATGGACGTCATTCAAAAAGCACTTCAAAGCTGCCGGCGTTTAGTTGAGTTTAGTCGCGTGGACCTTCCTCCCGGGTGTGGTAACGCCATACGGTAAATGTTTTACTCGGCTGAACTATTTAAATTATTTTTATGTTTTCTTACCAGCAGACGGCACGTTCCGTTAAATTCTGCCAATAGCTTAACGTGTTCTTAATTAATTCTGTTCCTGTAAAAAGTGTTGAACAAAGGCAGGGGGGGACAAAATGTTGTTGTATTGTGTTTGTCCTGTATGTGTGGCTGTGGCGGCACATCAAACAGTCGGTTAGTTTTAGAACAAAACGTACTCTTTTTTTGTAGCTTACTGTGTAAATAACGCACCGACCTTGTCAAAAGATCGTGGGAACTCGTCACATAAACACACACACAGAAATATTGTTTACAATTGTTTGGGTCTTTGTAAAGGGGCGACCGTTACACAGGCACGAAGTCTGCGAAAGATTTGAAAAAATCAACGTATTAATTCATTCGGATACTTGCGTGATTCGAATGAGAGAAACCATTGCATTCCTTCTTTCCGTCTGAGCCCTGCACTTTAATCCTGTCAGGTGATCGAAAACACTCATTAGTGTGGGCCCACCAAGTATATTATTCTAAATTAGGTTGCATACACAAACATGAAAACTAGTGAAAAAGGGTTATTTAATTTAAAGGGCTGAAAACCTATTATTTACACGACTAGAAAATCTCACAAAAAATCTCACTAAACCTACCTCAAACCCTTTAACATTGCTTAAAAATGAACCTTTCACAGGACAGAAAATCTGTCAAATGCTGATGAAAGCCTTTCATACACATGACAGAAAAGCTCTTGCATGAATTGCACTTTCATTCACATTCATGAATATTTCTAAGAGGATTTCACTTGAATACTAAGGCTTTACAGAAACGGCTGACTTAACATGTTTATCAAAAATGTGTTTCTTAACACAAATCTCGATTGACTTTATTTAACTTTAATGTCTATCAAACCATAACTTATGTCACCTTCCTCTTCAATGCCCATGTTGGTATATTTAATAACTGTCCAAATTTCATTGTGTATTTGATTCTTGATCATTATATTGAGAGGCATGATTAGGAAGCCTTCCTGATCTGAATATGAGTGGCGATTTGTTTTTTCAAATTCTGTGGATTGTCCATTCCAAACACCATGTTTAAGCATAAAGAGCAGTACTGGTATGAAGCCCCCCTTAGGTGAAAGGTCAATCAAGTTTGTAGTTTTGTTATCAGTTGGCCACTCAGATAAAGAGAGGGGCAAAGCTGCAAACTGATTATCACCTTCTGGTGGATTGGATCCATCTGAGGAAAAAACTGCTAACTAGACCTTGTAAGTCCTAACGACGTAAGATCTGGTAGGGTCCCCTTATCCGAGCTCTTTAACTTGCACATCTGTGAGAATTTCCTCACATAATAGAACATGGAATTTGAAATGGTCATGTTCAAAATCCTCATTGCAGAGGCCCCTTGTAACAGCTTTGGTGGGAAAATGGTTGATGGTAGTAGTGGTAACAGGAGGACACTGTCAATGTGAAGAAGAAAATATTTTAAAATTGGATCTATCTCCTTTTTAGGGTGTTTTTTTTTCTTTCCATTTTTTCCTACCCCCTTGTTGGATTGGGCATTATTTGATGCATGCAAACTTTTGTAAGAATAATACATTTTGAAAGAATATTGGATAATCAAGGGAGGCTTTTCACCCACGATGCCTCCTTTGGCAAAGAAAATGTTTTCATTTTATATTACATTATTAGATTAGATTATTAGATTATAACGACAGAAAAAAATGTATGCCAATTCCAATTTCTTGAGTTTTGGACCTGTTACTTTTATGATTCAGATATGTATATTCAGATATGTATACTAAAGGTTGGATAGATGAAATAATTCATCTTCTGTAGCCTGGAATTAGGGACATGACTGTTGTCATGTGGAATCATCTCGACGGTAAATTTGCGTGACTAAAACGGTTCACAATGTGTTTATTTGAGAATAATTGGGGAAAATGTTCTGATATATTGGACAGTAAGTCCAGATGCATGATAATAACCACAGTAATAATGATACATTAGCTTTATAAATCACTTTTCCAGATGCTCAAAGACGCTTTACAATTAAGTGCATTATTCATTCAGTCCTCAGTCAGAAGAACCATCACCCTTTTGTGCAGAAGATGACTGCTCTTCCTCCTGACCTATATTTACCGTTGTATTGTAAAAAATCCTGAGTTAAAATTGATAAAAGTTTAAACAACCAAATATTTGGGAACTGTTAAAATAAAAGGAATGTCTTGTAACCTACAAGATTTATTTGTTTTCATTAGTGTGTGAGATTTAGAGCAGATATTGTTTACCAGGATTAAACATTTAAATGCTGGTCATTTCAATATCTGATTATTTGACAAAGTAAAATGTAATTGGATATATTCTCTAATTAGTATTATATTCTACTTTGAATAAGCCAACATAAAGGAAATAACACATGTAAATGGATTGCATATCCCCAGTAGCATAATTATTAAAAAATAAAGAAAATAAATCATGATTCATTTTCAACATGTATCCAAATTATGTTATGTTATATCATGTTATTCAAACTCCCAACAGTTTGAATAACATGTTGCCTGCTATAATTGAGTTCTGTGTATATCTATATTTTACACAATATCCCAAGATTTATTGAATTGTATTGTATTGTACTGTAATGTGAACTTGTTGGTGTGTTTCATAACACACTGAGTAATTGAATAATTTTCTGACTGTATCTGCTAGATGAAGTTTCTCCCTGCTCCTTCTTAGTCTTGTGTTTGTCTGTTTATCCTCCCTCTCCATGCAGATATGATCATGTTGAAAGAGTTGCTCGTTGCAGTAGTGATTGGTGGACTAATTCTATTCTTGGTATGGAGGAGGAGATTCCAGGTTTTGAAGACAGAGGATGGCTGGTGGCAGACTGGAGCTCCATCTGATCCAATGGAAAATGCTACCATCCATCCTTTTAAAGTTACCACTTGTGATGAAGAGCTGGAGGTGAGTTTCATCCTTAGTTTGTCACTCATGGTTGGGAATCTACAACGTACCGCATATATTCTCCTAATTTCACAAACACTCTTCTCTTGTTTTTCTTTTTAAGGACCTTTACAGGAGAATAGACCAGACTCGTTCTGTTCCTTCATTGGAAGACAGCCAGTTTAATTATGGCTTTAACTCCAAGTATCTGCAGAAGGTAGTGTCTTACTGGAGAAATGACTTTGACTGGAGAAAACAAGTCGATAAACTCAACCAGTACCCTCACTTTAAAACCAGTATTGAAGGTGAGACTGCATAGCACACACATGCATGACAGAGATGGCTGCCATCTGTAACCTGTTCTTACTTTCTGTATTTTACTCTAGGCATTGATATTCATTATGTGCACGTCAAGCCCTTGAAGATGGCTGAGGGGAAAAAAACCATACCCCTGATAATGGTTCATGGCTGGCCGGGCTCCTTCTTTGAGTTTTATGGATTGATCCCCTTGTTAACACAGCCAACAGACCCAGAAGACCTTGTTTTTGAGGTGGTGTGTCCCTCCATACCAGGATATGGCTTCTCTGAGGCCCCACAGAAAAAGGGTAGATTTTGAAAATGGGGCCACTTATCATTCTTTACTATATTGTTTCAAATTGCTGTTTGTTAATGTTCTATTATCATAACAAGTTGTGGATCTTTTGGAAAAAAAAATATTTTGCACGCTAAAGGAAGTATAGCAGATTAATGAAACATTAAAAATAAACACAACTAAATTTCTGTAATTAATGTAGTATGAAATTAAACTGTTTAAATTAAAAGAACCCCAGAAGAGTTTTTCATCTTAAATACATTAATTGGGAGTTTAGGAGATTTGAACCACATTTTCTTCTCTGCTACACTTCCTTTCAACAGCTTGTCAAGTCACTGGATAACAGTGTTGTTGTTAAAATTGTTGTGCTTTATTCTGACTCTGCAAAATGAAGAATTTATTGATGATTTTATAATTGATGCACAGTATCCACATGATTGAGGCCCATAAGGAGAGGAGATGGCAGGGTATCCAGTCTTTGAGAATGTCAACAATGTACATATATTTTCTTAGTGGATTCATAAGTTAAGTCCAGAAGGGAGCAAAATAAAGCAGGTAGAAGCTAATGGATTTATTGTAAAATATAACAAAAAGCACAGAATTTGAAACGGTGACTCAGGTTTTAAAAACCAACTCAGGATCCGTAGAGATTTATAAAAGGTGACCCAGGTTGCAAAAAAAAGACCACAATCGTTAGGAGACGCGGAAGTAACTCAACACACAAAATGTAAACAATGACCATTCTAGACAAACATTAAGTCAAAGTTGACTTCTCCTCAAACATGGGCTTAAGCAGACTTAGATTGACTGTCAAACTGTCAGAAAAACTGTGCTGCAGTGTGATTGTGATCACACAGGAGTGGAGAGAAGCATATAGACTAAAATAATATTTAAGATTTCAAAAGCCCAACAAGCTTGATATAGAAACATTAACTGAAGTTGTAATGTGTGGATAACCAATTATCTTGTGGCAAGATATCAGGAAACTGAAGCTAAGGTTCTCAGTGAGCTGCGAGCCACCACAGGGGAGTCAAATCAACAATTCAATTCAATTCAATTCAATTTTATTTATATAGCGCCACATCACAACAACAGTTGTCTCACAGCGCTTTCCAAACAGAGCAGGTCAGACCCTACTCTGAAGATAATTACAGAAACCCAACAATTCCCACCATGAGCAAGCACTAGGCGACACAGGCAAGGAAAAACTTCCTTTTAACAGGCAGAAACCTCGAGCAGAACCATGGCTCAGGGTGGGGGGGGCATCTGCCTCGGCCGGTTGGGGGTGAGGGGAAAGCCCAATCAGCCCATAGTCAACAATCCGCCAGGAGATCCAGGAAAATTGCAATGGAAAAACTAAAACTGAAAACATGGCAAATAAGATTATCCTCACATGTAATTCTTTGTTTTGTTGCTGGACTTTAAATCTTTGTTCAAATTCTGTACACACGTTGACAGGTTTTGACTCGGTTTGTGCGGCACGCATATTCCACAAGCTCATGAAGCGGCTAGGGTTTCAGCACTTCTATGCACATGGAGGAGACTGGGGATGGCTGGTCACCACAAACATGGCTCAGATGGATCCCAAGTATGAGAACTTCCTCATACCTCGACATTAGAAATGCAGACAAGTATCAGGCTTAAACATAGCCTAGTATTTACAATTATCAGTATTGTTTGATATGCATGTGTAGACTTTGGTTGACAAAAAAAACTTGTGTTTCTTTAATGACATTGCTTGTAAGTAATTCATTCATTTATTTATACATTACTTCTTTGCTTTTTTCTTGAATTCTTTGACGACCCAGAGCTGTCAAGGGCTTGCATATCAATTTTGCTCCACCCTCCAAACTGGAGCTCCCTGTGGCTTTATCCATGGTGCTTGGACGTCGATTCCCTAAGCTGTTTGGTTTCACGGAAATAGATATCCAGCGTCTCTATCCCTGCATGGACAAACTAGTAGTAGAATCCATCAAAGAATCTGGCTATATGCACATTCAGTCCACCAAACCAGACACTGTGGGTAAGAATCTGGAAAATACCAGTCTTATGACTATCAACTAGGTGATGTTCGACTATGGTGTACTTCTGATTATTGATATTCCATTCTGTTTCTTTTGCCAATTCAGGGAGAGGGCTGAACGACTCTCCAGTAGGTCTTGCTGCTTACATCCTGGAGAAATTCTCCACGTGGACAAACCGTGATTTCAGGAACCTTGACGATGGGGGACTCACTAGGTACATATAATAGAATGCATGATCAGTTACATACTGTATACCTCCACATGAATTAAGGACAATACAATTAAATGGATACAGATCTGAATAGATCTCAAACGGGAATCGCTTAAGCCACCATTACCAAGTAAAGCATAGCATATGTATGCAATTTTGTTTTACTGGGACACTGGTTCAATGACAAATAAAACCATTTAATTTAATTTCAATTACCATGATGCATTCTGTAATGACAGCATCGGATACGTTTTTTGGGGAGTTGGTTCATACAAACAAGGATTATGATTTGCGTTCTAGGAAGTTCTCTCTGAATGACTTGCTGACTAATGTGATGATCTATTGGACATCTGGTTGCATCATCTCCTCCATGAGGTTCTACAAGGAAAATTTTGGGAAAGGTCTGAACCAGCCCCATGCGAAGTGAGTTTGAGCTATGTTGCATTCTTTGATTTTATACATTATCCACTTTAGAATGATATTTTGGTCAGTTCTCCACTATGTCCTACTGAAAAAGATAACAATAATCCATTTACATTTAGAATCACTTTTTACTTGATACTATTTGATTTCCCGGTTGTAATGAGTAAATCACAAAAGCCTTATTCAGATAGTCTAGTTTCATCATTTATAATCGTCATTATATTGACGATTGTATTTGTAAACTCTGATCTTAAGATAACACAAATGTTAACACAACTATTTTGATTGAAAACTATCACTTTCTCTTCCCAGGATACCAGTATATGTCCCAACTGGCTTTGCCTGTTTCCCTAATGAGCTGATGCATACGCCTAGGCTATGGGTTAAACAGAAGTATCGTAAACTCATTTCGTTTACTCACATGGCCCGTGGTGGGCATTTTGCTGCCATGGAAGAGCCCCATTTGTTGGCAGAAGATATTCAGAAGTTCACAAAAATGGTTGAGAATAAGAATTATTAAAGGTGGACTAATGAGCAGCGAGCAACCTTTTACTTCATTTCTTGATAAATAAAAGCGATGTTCTCTGTTGATTATATATCAATAGAGAGGTATATTGTGTTTTAAATTATAAAATCAGCTCCTTTTAAAAATGCAGTTCATAAAATAGTTCACATGGTGTCTGTTGTCCATTGATACCAGTCTTTAAACATTTTTTAATAGTTTACACGTCACTTTTGCAATGATTGTGTGAAAAATATATTTCTTAAAAATCGTACGTTGAAAAGACAAAATCATTTGTTTACACAACTTTTGTGGGAGCAATGTGAATGTGATTACAAGTAACAGGTTTTACAGTATATAACAAGATATATAGGATGCGTCTGTGTCCACCGCAAAGGTTACCGAATCATTTTGACAGTATAGAGGCTAATACTTTTGGTACTTTGGTATCCAGTATTTTTACATTGTTTGTGGGAAAGCATCTTGGGGTCTTGAACAGTAACAGATAAGGCAGGAACGATCTAAGACTGTTTAAGAAAAAAAAGTTTCAATGTTCAGACTGGTCACATACATGTTTAGTTGGAATGTAAAAGCTCATATGTAGTTCATGCACAGTTATTAGTGTGACTGCATTGTTTTGTGTAATTTAAGATAAATAAAAAGATAATTTTCCAATTATACAATCATTGTCGTTTTCTACTGTGAAAAGCTCATGAATCAAGCAGTGTCTAATGTTGTGCGCTGACTTTTTCTTCCCACTCTTACTTTCTAGTATTATAATTTATTTTTTATATTTTCCATATAAATTATGAGCTGCGTGGTGGTGTGGTGGCTAGCACATTCGCCTTAAAGTTAGAGGTATATTTAGAATCTTCAATCAATCAATCAATCAATCAATCAATCAATCAATCACTTTATTTTGGTAAATTGTCCACCTTAAACACAAGAAACAACAAAAGGAAAAAAAGAAAAAAAACAATAGACAAACCCACAGTTTACCAAAAAAGGAATAGGCCGAAGCAAAGCTTATTCTTGCCTACCCTTGCCTGTTTTTTGCCATGTATAAAATATAAAATATAAATATAATAGACTTAACATTAAATATGTTAATAATCCTTTCTTGCTTTCCCTGAAGTCAGTTGCAATCAGCTCTTTTGAAGAGAACCACACAAAATATCCGTTCCAAAACACTTTTTACTCACTGAAGTATGGCTGTGTAATATGCTTCACTAGCATGTCCAGATGCATTGGATGCATTATTCCTGATTTATGGTGTCAAGTCAAACAGGGGTCCCATTCATAGCTATATTATTAAGAGATAGAATGTCACGGAAGAATTATTTTTGAAATAATTGAGAATCTGACAGTACAGGGGTTATAATATTGATAACGTAAGGCCCTCATATGGGGAAAACATTAATTAAAACTCTTGAAAAAGGTTTGTCTCTACTATGCTGTTTCAAAGTTGTTGGAATGCACATCATAAAACGCTTAGGATCCCTCCTAGAATGAAAAAACTTGTGCAAATTGTGAAATTGAGGTCACAGGTGTTGTGTACATTTTTTTTTAAAGTATTGCAGTTTGAATTATAAAGATTTTTTTTACCATACTCCTTCAATCAAACTTTGCAATTCAAGGGATCCACTGGTTTTAGATTTTTCCCAAACTATTAAGTTTAACTTTAAACATTTTTATAGTTATTGGTCACACAAATAGATCCTGTTCTTAACTATTTGAAACACTTTCAAATGACCAAATCACTATGTTAATCAAAAGGTTCCTGCAGAAGCTCAAAATGTTCAAATACTGAATCCCCCCCCCACTGCCCGGCTGACAGCAGTGGTCTGAATTTCCCAAGGACCCACTGCCCTAACTTAGGACACTCTCCCAGTGCTGCACTCCCACAGACAGGACTGCCTGTCTGCTCTTCTTGGCAACCAAACAGCCATGGGAGGATCAGGATGACCGGACAGCTGAGATAAGGACCACATGAAGTTCCCCACATTACCTCACCCGATTAGGAAACTAGTAGGGAGAGATACAGAGGCAAAGGAAAGAGTTCGACTTAAAGAAACTAAGTCAATGGTGATGAATAGAAATGGTAGTCCTGGAAATCGCAACAGATGGTTGAGGATATAGATGGAACAGGGAAACTCTTATGGAAACTGCTTGAATGGAAAAGGCTTCAACATCTACAGAAAGAATTGACCTGAAAAACTAAATTAGATCGGATGAGTGTATTCTGGAGTTCCTTGCTAAATGTCATCTTTTGGATTTAGATCAGACTTGAAACATTTGCTCGGGATTGCTGAAAAGATTTTTATCGTTTTGTTGTGCTTTTACCCAAGTTCATTTATCTTTCACAACAGCTTCCTGGACTTGAAAGCAAGCCTAAACGCAGCCAATAGAAATCAAATGAAAAGTTATTTAATTTCTTAAGACTTATTTGAGAACACCCATGGCAGATCCTCTGGAAGGTCACTTGTTAGAGGCTGTGAATCAACAATTGAACTCCAGCTCCACACAAGGAGAGCAGATCCCACAGCCTCCTGTAGCTGACAGTCAGGCATCCTTACATGGACACAGGAAAAGCATTCACTGCAGCCGGGAACCAAAGAAGTGGGTGAGTCTAAATTTTCTTACATTAAGAATGATCTTTGTTTCAAAGACAAATTTAGCAGTGAAGTAATGAGTCATTATTAGTAATCTCAAAAACATTGCAAACTTAGTTTTGATCTTAACAGTTGTTCAAACGTATTGTGTTGTGCAAGATTCTTACATTCAAATCATTCTGCACAAAGACGTTTAAGGGTATATCACAGGTGGTTTATATCCGTGGTCATGACAGTTTATATTCATGGGATTCATGATGCGGAAGGTTGAAGGTGAGGGAAAGTGCCAAAGCATATAACATGCCCATGCACTGAGGTATTCATCCCTGCAAGAAAGTAATGAACAAGTATGTCCTTTGCATTAGACGCAGTCCGTGTATGGGTCCATGTCAGTCTCTTCTGATTTTGGGTCTGTGGTCCAGGGCAGGGCATGGAGGAATCAGCACTCTCCAGAAAATGCTGCTCGAGAGAGGAGTCGTGTTAGGAACCTGCGGCAGGCTTTCCACAGTTTGCAGGTACATACACGGAGATTTTTTTGTTTCCTTCCTTCTGATTAGATGTAGTCCTCATTGCCTCCTTGGTTTTTGTCCTCCGAGTCCTATTAATAAATGTATAAAGTGAACTGTTTATGATGTACAAAATGATCTTAATTTTTTAAATAAGGGGATTTGTGGAGGTTTAACTCAAAGAAAAATGGTGACTGGATCTTTTTGCAATATAAACCTAACTGTGTTACGTGCATATGTGAATGCATCTATCTCCAGGCAGCTCTACCTTCAGTTCCACCTGACACTAAACTGTCCAAGCTGGATGTTCTGGTTCTGGCTACTAACTATATAGCTTACCTGACAGAGATGCTGGATAAGGGGGTATCAGTTGCTGATCCCCGTTTCAGACCTGGTGGATATCTGCATCCTGTTAAGGTAAATCAATATATGTGCATGTTGTATCGACTATAATTGCAAGTAAAGTAAGATACTACTTTATTAGGAGCATGTAGTGGAAAACCAAAGTTTAATCTATTAGGCTGATATGAGGATGATAAGATTAAAACTTACATTTAATGAACAAAACCTCTGTTTTGTTATCGATCAGAGGAATAAACTGTTAAACTGTAATTGTTGCATGCTGTTATTTTAAGATTCAACCACAGCTTCAGCACCTCCCAAATTTAGAGTTTATACAGAGCTCAAAGAAAAATGATCATGATTTTATCATCATAAACCTACAAGAAGCAATTTCACAAACAGAACCAAAGAAAAAAATATTTCTCAGAAGGGACAACAAATAGTATTCTTCATTTGTTTATGTATTTAGCAGACACTTTTATCCAAAGCAATTTACCAGACTGTCCTTTTTAAACCAAAACTTAATTAGGAATAATTTGTATGGGCTTTTTTGGTTTTGATACCGATAAACCAACTAAATAAATTCAAAAGCAACTAAAATAATTAGTTTCCACAAAGTCTTTCAGCTGTTTCCAGCGTTGGACCCTATATTTGCTTTGGATTAAGTTTTTGTGTGGGCACCCTTTGACAAGATTAAACCTTACATGGACTTTGCTAGTCCTTCAGTTCCAGTACTGGATGAATTTCTGGATTTTTGTAGGTCTTATTAATGGTTTCTTACTAGCACCTCTTCACTTTAAGCCCTCTTCTGCCAGTTGTTGGTCATTTTGGAGACTTAAACTCTGATCTAAAAGGGTTTTCCATTGCCTGAAAGTCACTAGTATTCTTCCTTCTGTGTCTCTGGTAATTAAAATTTTGAGGGATTTCGACATCTGCTTCAGTATACGTTAGTTTCCTGCCTCTTCCCTTGTTTGATTGGTCAACATTAGTCTCTGCAATAGATTCCAAGGTTTCTCAGACATCTATCAAGTGTCCATTCTTAGCTTAAGAATTTTTTTTTCCTCCACTTTAGTGTGCCGCTTTATCCTGCTTTGCCGTTATTTATGTTTGTGCCTTTTGAGCATAAATCAAAAGCTAAGTTAACACTGCAGCCTGAAGTGAATCAAATCCAATTTTTTGTGAGCTCCGAACCTTTTTGTGTGGTCTTTCACATTTCCAAATATATGCGACTTATTTGTGGTATCCAGTGTGAACTGAGAGCAACCTGTCCTGCAAGCTCAGTAGAGGATGCAATAATCACACATGTATGGAGCATGCACAGTGAAGTCTAGCTATAAATGAAATGAACAGGTGACACATCCATGGCCTTTTCATTAGTTTGAGTCTTTAGTCTTGTTATTTTTGGCCCAGAGGTTCCTTTCCTTTCGTCTGCATTGGAGCCAGGAACGTTTTCTACCCACACTGCAGGTTGGATGAATGCGACCCGGCTCCACAGACACAGGTCACATTTGAAAAGATCGGTTGCATTAGGGCAAAGGCATCAGATATGGGTCACTTTAGGCTGCAGTATGAACGTAGCCTGTTTACCTAGAGTTCCTGTTTTTCTGTTCCTTATTATGGCCCCTAATTTTGGATCCAAATTGGCCATGCAGGACACTTCTGTAACTCCCTCCTGGGTTTTTGCAACAGATGCCTCTGTTGTACTCAAATGTAATTTGAGTTCTCAGTGCCAATGAGAGAGACTACACTGATTAAAAACACTTTCAGGGGCTTCAACAATAGAGAATAACTGAATATGTAAAACAGGTTCACAATGGTTTGTATTGGCTGGAGACATAGACAAGTATGAGGATCAGTGCCTCCAAGTCCGAGACCATGGTCTCTCACCGGAAAAGGGTAGAGTGCCTTCTCCGGGTCGGAGCGGACGTCCTTCCCCAAGTGGAGGAGTTCAAGTATCTCGGGGTCTTGTTCGCGAACGGGGGTAGGGAGCGTGAGATCGATAGGCGGATCGGTGCGGCGTCTGCAGTAATGCGGGCGCTGTACCGGTCTGTCGTGATGAAGAGAGAGCTGA